GTGTGATGCCTCAGCTCTCATTTGGCGAAAGTCCCCTTTCCATATATTTGGCCTCGTATTGTCGTTTGTACACGGTTCAGAATACAGCAAGTACTCGAGGTTAATGACGAGGTAAAGCACATAGCTGTGTTAATAACATCCACTCTCAAACCCTCCTTTCACGGAGTCAAAATGGCAAAGAAAACTATGGACATCCTGGGAGCGATCAGGAGATCCCTCCTTAGCCATGACGAAGAACCTTTTCGTCGATTGTTTGGGACATTTATCCGACCGATTTTAGGATATGCACTTTGACAGGACGCCCATGAATTAAGCCAGATTACACTTCTTTGGAGAAGATATAACTAAGTGGGATCAAACTAGTCGATAGGTCGAACAGCCTACCTTGAGAGGAATGGCTAGAAAGGCTCAGACTTCTCCCCTCTCTTATAGTCAATAGAGGGAGACATGATCATGGTTTTCAAACTCGTAAGAGGAGTAAACGGTGCGCTTAAATATACAGACTAACAAACGAAAAATCCCCGAGGTCGTCGATATAAATTGAAGACGGAGTACACCAAACTTAAAGTACACGCTAACTTCTTCCCTCACCGAGTGATTAAAAAATGGGACGAACTGCCTAATTAGGTTGTTCTGGCGGAAAGTGTTCAGGCATATAAACGAAAACTTGATAACATTTTATATGATAGTTATGTATTTACTTGATTAGGATCGATAAAATGTAGCCGTATATTTACATAAACGTATGCACGTTTTTTCTCTTAGTCTATGTCTGTAAATAGGATTTTCAAAGCCTCTGCCTATCTCGCTTTCATATGCTGAATTATACCGATGAAATAGGGATTTTGGCCAAATGTAGATGCTGTATTAAGAAGACAAAAGACCGCAGAAACTGCGGAAGCCGTTTCTGGGATGTCGACTATGAAGCTTCTCAAAAACTTACGATCTGTACAGTTCCCTTGACGTACTAATATATAATAGCGTTTTTTTACCGCCTTAGCTTTCCCTGTACTTAATGTGTTCATCCCAACACACGATGTGCCGAGGTTGCCGGTATTATTCGCATTTTAATATCTTATTAGAATAGAGGGGAGTCCTTTATTTACGTGCGTTTAAAGGCAAAGTATCAATATTTACCAAAACTCTGGGGGATGTAGGGGTGTCCGCGGTGGGTTCACGTGATGGTCGTGGAGGTCGCTCACTTGCTTGCAGGTGAGACTACGCCTAGCGTTCACTTGCTGACACTCAACTCTCACCTGTGGCTCCACGTAGCTGGGCTCTGCTCAGCGGCCACACCCCGGGCAACCGTCTCGACCGGCGGGCTAAACCAGGTGAGGGGGCCCTGTGCGCTGTGCCGTGTGCACAGGGTTTGCGGATTCCGCTGGATGGAAGGTCGGATGGAACCTTGCGTCGGCACCGTCGTGACGTGGTTCGTCTCTGCACGCCGCTGGATAGCCGGTGACGGGATGGATCTCCACATCGACATCGCCTTGACGCGCCCACCTACGCCGTCGGAGACCGCGGCTTACGGCGAATTCGAGCCGCTCTCCACTACAACCAGAGGTCGTGGCACCATAGTGGAGTTCGGCCGTGCCACAACGGCACATGGCAGCCCTATTCAGGGGTGGCACTGCCAGCCCCTACGAGGGGAAGGGCCTAGAAAAGGTGGCCTAAACATTGCTGGGCACCACGCCGTCTGCAGGCTAGCCAGGGCCGCAGACGGATAAACATGGTCGAAACAATCAAAATCGAAACAACAACAATACCTATAAGAACAACAACAACAACAATACTCGCTCACCTCCTCATCCTACCTCTTCTTTCTCTTCCTCTGCCTATTCTTCTCCTTCGCCATCCACTTCTCCCCCTCCTTCCCGTCGCCCCAATCGTTGTCACCAGACTGGCAGGGTGAGTCCGCTCACTCTGGCAGCCTGGAATGTTCGTTCCCTTTTAGGCAAGCCGAGGAGCAACCGACCGGAACGGAGGACGGCGCTAGTGGCACGAGAACTGGCCCGCTACAAGGTGGACATCGCCGCACTCAGCGAGACCCGATTCTCCGAACAAGGCCAACTGGAGGAGGCGGGGGCCGGCTACGCCTTCTTCTGGAGCGGTCGACCCAGGGCAGAGCGACGGGACGCGGGTGTCGCCTTCGCTATTCGGAACGAAATCGTGGGACGACTGCCCTGTTTGTCGCAGGGCATCAACGATCGCCTGATGAGCCTCTGTCTGCCTCTCTGGGGAGGCAAATTCGCCACCATCATCAGCGCTTACGCTCCGACGATGACCAACCCCGACGCCGTCAGAGACAAATTCTACGAGGACCTGCACGCCCTCTTGGCGACTGTGTCGAGGGCGGACAAGTTGATTGTCCTTGGTGACTTCAACACCCGCGTCGGCACAGACCATACTGCCTGGAGAGGAGTGCTGGGTCCCCACGGTCTCCGCGGCTCAAATGACAATGGTCTGCTGCTTCTCCGCACCTGCACAGAACACCGCCTCATCCTGAAGAACACGTTCTTCTGTCTGCCGGAGCGAGAGAAGGCCACCTGGAGGCATCCTCGGTCGCGCCAGTGGCACCTGCTGGACTATGTCCTCGTCCGGAGGCGAGATCAGCGGGACGTGCTGGTGACGAAGGCGATCGCGGATGCTGACGGGTGGACCAACCATCGCCTCGTCATCTCGAAGATGCGTATTCGCCTACAGCCTCGCAGGAGACCACAAGGTAAGCGACCCCCAGGTAAGCTGAATGTTGCCTTGTTGTCTTTGCTTGCTCACCATCTTCATTTCAACAATGAGCTAGCTCAAAGACTAGACAACCTTCCTATCGCTGCCGCCGACGCCGCCGCTGCCGAGACCGCCTCCGTGGAGAACCGCTGGCGTCAACTGCAAGACACGGTCCAGTCGACGGCGCTCGCCGTCCTCGGTCGCGCTCCCCGCCAACACCAGGACTGATTCGACGACAACGATGCTGCCATCAGAAATCTGCTTGCTGAGAAGAACCGCCCACACAAAGACTACTCAGATCACCCCAATGAGGACAACAAAGCTGCCTTCTACCGCAGTCGCCGCCAACTTCAGCAACGACTGCGCGAGATGCAGGACGCCTGGACTGCTCGCAAAGCTGAGGAGATCCAAGGCTACGCGGACCGCAACGAATGGAAGAACTTCTTTTTTGAGATCAATGCTGTCTACGGTCCGCCGACGAAGGGCACTGCTCCTATCCTCAGCGCCGACGGCAACACTCTCCTGACTGAGAAGACGCAAATCCTACAGCGATGAGCCGAGCATTTTCCAGGCGTCCTCAACCGCCCCTCCGTCATCTCCAACGCCGCCATCGAGCGTTTGCCGCAAGTGGAGACCAACGTGGACCTCGACCTCCCGCCATCTCTCCAGGAGACCATTAGGGCCGTGCAGCAGCTCTCCAGCGGGAAAGCACCCGGATCGGACGCAATCCCTGTCGAGGTATACAAGCACGGAGGCCCCCAACTGATGGATCACCTGACTGCGCTCTTCCAAGAGATGTGGCGTCAAGGCAAAGTCCCACATGATTTCAAAGACGCAACCATCGTGCATCTCTACAAGCGCAAAGGGAATCGCCAAGTCTGCGACAATCACAGCGGCATCTACCTGCTGAACATCACCTGGAAAATCTCTGCTCGCATCCTTCTCAACCGCCTCAATAACCATCTGGAACAGACCCTTCTGCCGGAAAGCCAATGCGGCTTCCGTCGTAATCGTGGGACCACGGATATGATCTTCGCCGCCCGTCAACTTCAGGAGAAGTGTCAGGAGATGCGGACCCACCTGTATTCTACCTTCTTGGACCTGACGAAAGCCTTTGACACGGTGAATCGTGAAGGACTGTGGAAGATCATGCAGAAATTCGGCTGTCCGGAGCGATTCACTCAGATGGTGCGTCAGCGGCACGACGGTATGGTGGCGCGAGTCACGGACAACGGAGCTGTCTCAGAGGCATTGGCAGTGACCAACGGAGTGAAGCAGGGATGCGTACTGGCGCCTACCCTCTCCAGTCTTATGTTCCCTGCCATGCTGATGGACGCCTACCGCGACGAATGCCCCGGGATCCGCATCGCCTACAGGACGGACGGTCACCTGCTAAATCAACGACGGATGCACTTCCAATCGCGCGTATCCACAACCACCGTTCACGAACTCCTCTTCGCCGACGACTGCGCCCTAAACACCACCTTGGAAGAGGAGATGCAACGGAGCATGGACCTGTTCTCCGCCGCCTGGGAGAAATTCGGTCTGGTTATCAACACGCAGAAGACGGTGGTGATGCATCAACCGCCACCCAACTCAGCCACAGCCCCCAACGCGCCGCCACAAATCGGCGTGAACGGAACCCAACTGCAAGTGGTGGAGAACTTTCCGTACCTGGGCAGTACTCTCTCCCGCAACACCAAGGTCGACGACGAAGTCGCCAAAAGGACCTCGAAATCCAGTCAAGCGGAGACTTGGACGGTGTACACAAAGCAGGCACGCCGTCCGAACCACTTTCACCTCAGTTGTCTTCGCCGCATCCTGAGGCTGAACTGGCAGGATCGCATCCCCGACACTGATGTGCTGGAACGGACGGGAATCCTCAGCATCTGCGTCATACTGAGACAAATGCATCTGCGTTGGAGCGGCCACCTGGTGAGCATGGACGACGAGCAACTTCTCAAACGACTCTTCTACGGAGATGTCGCGACGGGTTCTCGCCGTCAAGGAGGCCAGATTCGGCGTTACAAGGATACCCTGAAGTCCTCCCTGAAGCGCCTGCAAATCTCGCACTCGATCGACCGACCTGGAGGAGGACAGTGAAGACAGACGCTGCGATCTACGAAGCCAATCGCATCGCTGCCGCCAAAGCGAAACGCGAAGCCCGCAAATCACAACTTCGCTTAGTACGCAACGCCGCCGCACAACCGCTTCCAACGTGTCCTCGATGTCAACGGACATTCCGGGCTCGAATCGGACTTGTTGGTCATCTTCGGATCAACTGTGCCTCTCAAACTGCACCAAACATCGTCCCCTCGCCCGCTTCTTCCTCTTCTTCCTCCTCTCCGCCGCCAAATAACTCTGACAATTCTTCTGAACCACCGCTTCCATCCTCCTCCTCCTCCTCCTTCTCGTCCACAGCTCCAACGACAGCCCCTCAGGCGACTGTCCCGCGCGCAACAATAGACACTACCACCACCTTCCCCGACTCCAGCGATGAGGATCAGGACTACACCTGCCCTCACTGCGACCGCACCTTCACCTCACGCATCGGCCTGGTCGGTCACTTGCGAAGCCATCGCACAGAGACTGGCGAACCAGTGCCTGAAGCACCAACCTATACCCACCACGCTCGACTCAACTGCCCACACTGCCCTCGCACCTTCAGGCATCGCATGGGCCTTTTCGGCCACATGCGCATCCACGAGAGCGGCCTTGACCGCACTCCCGACACACCCACCACATCCAACACATCCACCGTGCACACCCTCACCCTCGCTCCATCCGTCTGCGCCACCACCACCACCGCCTCCTCTGTAGCTGACACTGACACCGCCGACTTCTCATGCTCACACTGTCCACGCACATTCACCTCACGCATCGGCCTGGTCGGTCACTTGCGAATCCATCGCACAGAGACTGCCGAACCAGTGCCTGAAGCACCCACCTATACCCACAAAGCTCGTCTCAACTGCCCACATTGCCCTCGCACTTTCAGGCATCGCATGGGCCTATTCGGCCACATAGGCATCCACGACGACCTGCGGTAGACAACCACCGGTCACACCACACATTCACTCACTCCCTACCTCCTCCTCCACCACCACCACCTTCATCCCACCAGAAATCAACACTCACACACCTCATGAACCCAATTGCCACCTCCCACGCAAGTGGGAAGTCCGCATCTCGACTCGGTCCCCATGCGCCTTCGGCTGCACGGGTGACTTGTGTCCGAGACTATCCCGACACGTCAAGTGTCGTGGATAGGAAGGTTGCTGATTGACGCCCGCTCTCGGTTCACGCAGTTCGTCGCGTTGTGTGTGTTGTGTGGAGTGGCGGACTGGTGGGCTGGGGACGGGCTGAAACAGCACCTTCCACGGCACTCTCGCGCAAGTGAGAGACACGCCGTTCAACCCCCGTTGTGTGAAATCCTGATGTTGTGTGTATGGGGCGCCAGGTAGTGCCGTGGCGCGCGGAGTAATGGTCAGTTGACCATGACAGCCACCGCGCCCATTCCCCACTCCAGTCTGCTGACCGGCTCGGACAGCGGCTGGGGTGTGGGAGTGGGAAAGGAGAGTGTGGTCGACGACTCAGCGCATTTTCCTCATTATAAACAATCTGACGCGCTTGAAGCTATCACGGTGCACTAAAAGCTGTGGCTTGGAAGGTTGCCAACTGACGGGGTAACTTGGACCTCCTCCTTGACTGGAGGCGGTCTGAGAGTTAGGCTGCAATGGCTCCTTTTTAATGTGGCCTTTATGGCACTCCCATCACAGTGTGGGATCCGAGCCAAGCTTTGGCGGCACGTCCAGGTGCGGCTTCGGCCGTGCCAGCCTCCAAATCTCTGTTGTTGGTTGAAATCCTGGTCATTGTTGTGTGGACCAGGAGGTGTGCTGGTACAGCAAGGTGAGGATCCGTCCGAGTCATCCACCTGCGGCCTCCCTCGTCTCCGGTCTTCTTGACTCTGTCTTGACACCAGTCCCAGGCGGGGGAGGAGGAGAGAGTGTAGGTGGATGCTACGCAAGTCTACCGGCACTACAAACCCCTGCGTAAGTCACCGTCCCTGCTCCCATTGCTGCTGCAACTGTGGGGCACACGGTGGACATCATCGAAACCGATTGTCGAGCTGTCACCAAAACTCTGGACGGGGGAAGATAAGTCACAATATAATCATACTTGAAGTACATAATAGTGTCATTTTAAACATCCAAATACTGACTTTGCTATTAAAACTACCATTTGATAGGCATCATGAACGCATAGTGATTATTATATACGTGGAAACTCATGCGACGGATGGAGGACAAAATAACATAAACACTTATGCGTAAAATGAATGCCAGTGGGGTGACAGACTGTAACAGACGGCGTTCCGAGCAGAGGTCCTACTTCGTTTTACAAAAAGACCCTCACATCGATGTAGGTCTTCGATTTTCAGCAACCGTGTCTCCAAGGTCACGTGTGGACGAACAGCTTTGTGCCAAAATAAAATAAGTCGTTCTGGTCATTGTTCCATTTCACGCTAATTCCTCTATTTTGTAAGAGTTCTTCCTGCCAACCTACTATAAGTCACTCCGGTCCTTTTTCCGTTTACTTCAGTGTGAGACTTAATTTCCTGTCTCACACTCTTTGCAGCAATTACTCTTCTGTCGTGTTTGACTTGGTCATGGTTAGAACCGTAATCAGGGCCAGCGTAGACCTGAATGCGACGGTCATATCACTATTCTTTTCCTTAAAAAGATGATGAGGCTGGTCATGCTATTACTGTTAAATCTCTGAGGATTCATAAGCGTTACGACAAGGGCGCAGATATATTTCGGCTTTCGAGATTTTAACGAATACTTCAGATTGCATATGATGAAATATGATGAGTTTTTGCGGATCGATGAACGGACAATAGTCCTATTTGCACAGCGATGCATAAAAATGGACTAATTGTATGAAGTTCAGTCAGAAAGATTTCAGCCGTTTTTAGGTCTCAAAAGCGTTGGATAGTTTCGAATCCTTAAAAAGTTCAAAGTTTTGTTTTTCAGGGCTTTGGTTGTCCGCGAGTTGGCTGCGAGGTTAATTGAACTGTATTGATATGCAAATCACGCTTGTCTCGGTTTTCTGTCGATTTTCATCGTCTGAAAAAAATATTCCACGGATCAACTAAGCAATCCTGTTGGCTCATTTTCAGCGTCAGTATCAGAGACAATAAGTGGAAGTTGGTAGCCTTTGTGGTTTAAGGTGGAGCGCAGAACAATACGGTTGTGGATTATATATTTTCTGTCCCATGAGGGTTTTTCTCCCTAGGACCGTCCGGCAATGCAGGCTTGAACCGGGGCTGTTCTCTAGACTATAACTTTCCTCCTTTGAGACGTGACTATACTGATTCGGCGTTTTCATCAGTCTCATTTTCCGGGACCTGATTGTGTCCAAGTTGGCATTTTGAAAGTGGGCGCAAATGTAATTTCCCCACCGCTGCTGTGAGAGATATTTAATCTCGCTCGTGAAAGTGAAATTTATCTTACGTTGTGGAAGGAATCACACATTTTGCCTATTCCCAGACACTGTCGATCTGCGTCATTTAACGACTTCCGGCTAATAAACACATTCCATCAGATTCGCAAGTCTTAGGGACATTGATCAAAAATATGATGATGTGTCACTTGACGGATAGTAACTTACTGGATGCTGCTTAACATAGATTCCTCAGAGCTCGTTCTTCTGATACCTGCCAACTCTCACTATTTGATCGTCTTTCCCATTCTAGGGACAATGACAGTTCGAACTGAACATACTAAAAAATTTCCTTGGAACCTCCGGAAATTCTGTATGGCTATTTACGAAGTACTAAAGGGACTCAGGAACTGAGCCACGTCCTTAGGTCTGCAAATGAAAAAGGGGAGACTAATGACCAGGTTAAAGCATCCTTTCTTTCTAATTTCTTCCATTCCGCCTTCACCCGATAACTAAGTTATATATTTGCTCACCCATGCGTTCACCAGACGTCTCCTCCTACTACTCTTCCCCCTTTTACGTCCTTCCTACCGTCCTTAACCGAAAAACCATTCTTTTCATCGGCCATAGTTAGGGCCGAGCTACTCTGACTGAAACCTGCCAAATCGCCTGGCCCAGACAGAATTACCACAGTAGCACTTCGTGAACTTGCTAATGAACTGTGCGAAATGTTTTCTGCAATATGTCGGAAGCCATTTGAAAAAAGCGAGCTTCCGGAAGAACGAAAGTGCGCACTCTTCACTCCGATCCATAATGGACGCCCACGACTTGCCTGCGTGAATTATCGTCCCGTTAGTCTTACTTGCATCGCGTGTAAAATAATGGAACGCCTTATCAAAAGACATTTGATGCAAAACCTGGAAAAATCAAAATATTGTGTGATGACCAAAATGACTTTCGCCCAGGGCACTCCTGCCTAACGAGCGTTCTTTCCTGGCATGAGAAAGGGATAAGAATTGCCGATAAGGGTTATCCTGTAGAGTTCATATTTTTTGAATTCAGGAAGGCTTCTGACAGTGTCCCGCACAGCCCTCTTTTAAAGAAGATCAGGGATATAGAAATGCAGGGAAGAATATTTAAATGGATCCGGTGTTTTCTGTCCTCCAGAGTACAAAGTGTCGTCGTTGGTAATTCCGCCTCGGAATGCGCAAAGGTGGAAAGTGGTGTGCCACAGGGTTCTGCCTTGGGCTCAGTACTCTGCATGATTTATGTTAATGACTGCATCAGCGAACAGGATTGAGAGACCCTCATGTTCGCGGGTAAAATGTATATATGGAGTGAAGTTTCGTGCGATGATATCGCATAGAAATTGGAGTCAAACATCGAAAAAGTGTGTGTCTGCTCGAGCAGATGGCCTTTGAAGTTTAACGTGTCCAAATGCGTGGTCTTGCGCCTAAACTCCAGCCGAAATGTCTATCTTAAACTGCAGTATTATCTTAATGGGACAGCATTGGAAACTGTGGAGAGACACAGAGATCTGGGTGTATGGACACCGCAAATCTAATGCCATCAGCGCACTGTAGAAAGATGGTCTAAAAGACGACTAATACTTTATACTGGATCAGACGTGCATTTAAAATATTCACTCCCGCACTCTTCTAAAGACTTTTTGGCGTCTTTGAAGGACCCAACTTTGGTATGGAGTGTCAGCATCTTCACTATGGATGAGGTAGAGCATTAACTTACTCGAACAGGATCAACGCAGGGCAACAAACACGATCGATAGTCTAAAGCATTTGTCTTAGCAGGAGAGGCTGAATGTGCCTGGCTTATTCCCTCTCTCCTATAGGCAGTCTGGTCTAGTTTAGACATTCCAGACTGTCCATGGCCAGGGTTGCTCATTAAGAACGGAAAAAATATCTGAGTTTGCCAGTACAAAACAATCACGCGGTCATTCTTCCTAAGTCAAGAGTGGACGCACTCAGCCCGACCGTAAGAAATTTTCATTTAGCTAGCGGGTTGTCCGACTATGGACCTCGCTACCAAGCGAGATCGCGAGGGTCGACACATTTTTCATGCTCAAAAGAAAACTTGCTTGCTAAGTTTTCGACAGAAACCAACCTCTGCAAGAAGACTACTCACAGACAGCCTTGCGAAACACTGTCATACACAATCTTTTCATAATTACTTACAGTGAACAGATGCGCTTCTTTATCATTACGATTTTACTGTGACCCGATCACATTGTGAACGTCTGTAACTTCGTTTTGAGTGCGAATCTGTGAAAGTATTGTAGACGAATGGGGTTATCAAGGACTCTACCTCTAACCTTTCAAATATCTACATACATACACATTTCAAACAGTCTATTTCGACTTCAATAAGGCATTTGATCGTGTGGAAAATGCTTTTCTTCTCATGAAACCGTCCTCTTTCGGAATGGGTGTTAAATTTCTGAATTTGATGTCCTCTTGCCCGGGCTCTTTCACAAAACGGGTCAAGATTTCCAATGTTGTCTGCGATCGCAGATGCATGAGGATTGGAGTCATTCAGCGTAGTGTACTTGGTCCGCTATTATTTTGCCTTTTTGTCGATGATCTACCAG